ACAAATGGAGATAAGTCGCTTATGAAAGTAAAAGAAAATAGAAAATCTAGGAAAGGCTTGAAGAAAAAAGTGTATGATCTAGAGAAAAAAAAATCTAATGAAAGTAGTGATGGGCAATTTTATGTCAATTCCGTTAAAATGATTAGTTCATTGAAGAAGAAAGTGCAAAAATCTAATTCACAAGAGAAAGTTTGGAAGCAAAAAGTTTACATAGGTCAAGGGCAAGTAGAATTTAAACTTGATACTGGAGCAGAGGGTGAGTGTTTTACCACTGCATATTTAGGAAAAGTTAAGTTTGTTAATGACTTGAAGTCCACAAAAGCTACTTTAATTATTTCATATGGGTAGCGAAAGCTTTAAGATCAAACTCCTTGGAGAGGTCAGTTTGTTGTGCAGTCAATGGCATTGAGTCGCTAGTTGATTTCATTGTTGTTGATGCTGAGGACCAATAACTGCCTTTACTTGGGTTACCAGGTTGTTTATTAAAACGTTTAGCCTCGATTAGTAAGGGAGCAGATGTATCTTTTAAATCTTTAGAGAGTGCCATTAAAGCTTATAAATCTTGTTTTGATGGCCTGGGGGAATTTCCCACAAGCCACTATATAGCCTTGAAAAATGACGCAATTCCGCATGTTCAGCCTCCCAGAAGGGTTCCTAAAACACTCCACGACAGATTAAAATGCAAGTTAGAACAACTCAAAGCACAAGGTGTAATTGAAAAAATTGAACGTCCTACTGAGTGGCTGAACCCGCTAGTAATTGTCGAGGAAAAAAATTATGACTTGCGGCTTTGCTTAGACCCTAGCTTAGACCCTAAATATTTAAATAATGCGATACAACGCGAACATTTTTTGATACCTACAGCTGAAGAAATTGCTGTCAAATTGTGTGACAAAAAATACTTTACAGTTCTTGACAGGAAAGATGGTTATTTCCAGGTGAAAATTGATGACCAGAGCGCGGATTATACAACATTTGGGCGTTATAGATTTCTTAGGTTGCCCTTTGGCATTTGTTCTGCGCCTGAAGTCTTCCAAAGAAAGAACTTTGAAATATTCGGTGACCTTGAAGGAGTGGGCCTTTACTTTGATAATTTAATTATAACTGGCAGTAATGAGCTTGACCATGACAGAAACCTTCAGTTAGTTCTTGAACGTGCTTTAAAATATAACATCAAATTCAATAGTTCAAAAATTCAATTTAAATCAGAATCTGTCAAGTTCATAGGTCAAATTTATTCCAAAAATGGTGTCGAACCTAACAAAAACTATGTAAAAGCTATAATAGATTTGCCGACTGACAAAAATGGAGTTTTAAGAATTTTGGGAATGACGAAGTCTTTAGTCCTCTCCGGGAGTTGACAAAGCAAGATGCCACATTCCACTGGTCTACCGAGCAAAAGCAATCACTTTCTCAGCAAAAGCATTTCTTAACAACTGCCCTTGTACTAAAATTTGTTGATTCCTCAAAAGAAGTGGAAATTGAAACCGATGCTTCAAAAGGCGGTCTGGGCGCGTCCTTATTATAAAAAGGGCATCCAATTGCATTTGCTTCAAGAAGCTTAACACCAACAGAACAGAAATATGCTCAAATTGGGAAAAGGATGCTGGCCATTGTATTTGCAGTTCAAAAGTTTCACTTTTTCATTTACGGCCTAAGAAATGTTAAAATTAACTCTGATCACAAGCCTTTGGAGTCTATAATGAAAAAAGGTTTAGTTTCAATAACACCTCGTAAGGCTCCTAAATTATGATTTACATGTTACTTACAAACCTGGCAAGTAGGTACCTATAGATATATCGGTGATACATTATCAAGAGCGTTTTTATCGGAATCGTTTGAAAAGTGATAGGGAATTTAACTTTGGAATTCATTCAATAATAAAAAATATGTCAATGTCAGATGAGCGAACACAGCAATTAGACTGGAAACCAAAAATGATGACCTACTACTAAAAATGTTAATAGATTACTGCTTAAATGGGTGGGCCAGAAAATAAACAGCAAGTGCCAGATTTTGTCCAACATTATTTTAAAATCAGGGATAATTTAACTTTCGCAGATGGGTTGTTATTATTTTCTGAAAAAATTGTTGTGCCTGTGTCTCTTCGGTTTGAAATGTTAGATCTTTTACATGAGGGTAATGCAGGAATCGAGAAATCTAAAGGGCGTGCGCGGCCTTGATATTTTTACGTTTTCTGGAAAAAGCTAACTGGTCATTTTTGATTCATACTCAAACTGGCTTGAGTTATGTTGTACAAAAGATAAATCGATCAAAAAATAAATTCTTTGATAAAGGTGTTTTGTATTTTTGGCGCTCCAGATAGTGTAGTTTCAGACAATGTCCCGTTTAATAGTTTTGAATTCAGGAATTTTCACAATTATGTTAGGCTAGAAAATCATCTTAACCTGCGGACTCTATCAGATCGAAGAGATTTTGCAGGGCTTACTTTTCTGTATGGTGTTGTTAACAGTACAATTGATTGGTCTGATTTGTTAGGTGAAATAAGTATTGAGATAGTTACTAGAAATAGGAGACACAATGTCAGATCCTTTTATCAAAGTCTCTTTTATATTCCTTTTTACCGTACAAATTATGGTCTTAATACGCCTATGGATAGATACTCTACAGTTGTTAATGACTTGAAATATTTGATATATCTTCGAGGGAATTTAAAAAGCAATTTAATGGTGTCACTTTTTAAGATTCTGTGCTTTTTAGGTTTTGATTGTGGTTTTGCTTACTATATGTAATGGGCTAGTATTAAGAGGGGTTGTTTTGGTTAGTTTGGAAATTTTTTATGTCTGATCTATTATCATAACTTTATATTTTGTCAATTGTAAACTGTTAATTGAAATTGAAATTGAAATACGAAACAGATTTTGATTATTCCTGGCTTTTTATTTATTTATTTGATATAATACTAATAATACATTTCAAAGTATTCAATAATGTCAGCTAGATACACGATGAATTTGAAATTTGTGTGCGTCTCTAACCAGCATTAAAACGATTTTACAAAATCTATTTATCATTAAACAGGTGCACCATCTTAAACTACTTACAGATATGGAATAAATGAATGTGTTATTAGTATATACTTAATTGTAAACAACAAAATCCTAATACAACCATACTATGTTTTTAGATATTGTTTCATAGTTAACTATACGATCCATTTTTTTATTTCGTTCCTGTTTTTTTTATTAAAAGATTCATTCTTGAGGTTGAGGGGTAAAAGATTCAATAGTCTTGGCCCAGTAAATAGAATACTTCTCTGTGTGAAAGAAAAGTGTTGCAGACTATATATTACACTATATTGATAATATCTGAAATACGTATGACGAATTCTGAAATACAATTTAGAATTTCTGATCTACAAATAAATAATCTGAAACCTAAATGACGATTTCTGGAAATAAGTGACCAAACTGAAATACAAATGACTTTTTCTGAAATACAACTGACCAATCTGAAACACAAATGAATGATGTTTTTCTGAACTACAACTGACAAAGTTGAAATACAAATAACACTTTCTGAAATTAAACTTACACAACTGGAATACAATTGATACGTTCTGAACTAGAGTTGATGGATCTGAAATAGAAGTGATGCATTTTGAAATACTTATGGAAAAGGTGTAGTTGTATATTTTTGATTAGTCACAGCTTTAGTTTATACTACATTTATCTCTGTACTAGGTACATGGTTACCTAGGTTTGTAAGGTAGTATTCTTGGCCCACTTCTCTATAGTATATATACTTCTAACATTGTGAAGTCCTTGGAGAATTGCCAGTATCACCTTTATGCCGACGATACACAAATCTATGCATCATTTAAACCTGGCTTGGCGGCAATAATTGTGGCGGATCGGATTAACAGTGACTTGGATCTGTTATTGAAAGCTTCCGAAGATCATTTATTAAAAATTAATCCTAGCAAATCTACGGCTGTTCTTTTCTGCAATGAAACTTGCAGAAACCAATTACAGGACACTATCAAACTTAAACTTGGTAACGATATAATATCATTGGGACTCGGTGAAAAATCGGGGCTTGATTTTGGATTGTAAATTAAAATTCAAAGCACATATTACTCTGTGCTTAAAAAAGGCATATTCGATGCTGAAACTAATCTATTCGCACAGATATTATTTATCGCAGAAAACCAAGGCCATGCTTTGTGATGCCTTAGTCTTGTCTCATTTCAATTTTGCTGATCATTTATACGGGCCTTTTCTGGACAGTCTTGCTATAAAGAGAGTTCAAAAAGCGCAAAACTTCTGTCTCAGACTGATATTTCGCATAAGGCGTAGACAAAGAATATCTTATAAACTGCCCGAGTTGGGGTGGCTTAATATGGCTGGTCGGCGTACCTTGCATTCTGCTGTTTTTTTTCTATAAAATTATAAAATTTGAAAGTCCTCCATACCTTCATCAAAGAATAAAATATGGAACCGACGTTCATAATGTGAACATTCGTAAGTTAAACCTTCTAACAAAACTTACATTTTGAGTCACCAATAACATTCAGATTTTGATTATTCCTGGCTTTTGATTGGATACTATTATCTCCCCGAAACTACTCAATCAAATTGAACCATATTAACCCAATCAAGGGCCAAGAATAATCAAAAGTTGAATTTTCAGTTAGCTATAAGATTCAGATTTTGATTATTCCTGACTACTCCCCGAAACTACTCAATCAAATTGAACCAAACTAACCCAATTATAGTACCTAATAGGTACTATATTTATATTTTCAACTAATTACCAGCTCTAGCGTAAATTTCATACTCAATTACGAATAATGAAAAAATAAACATCTTAAAGGTTACAAAAATAATCCTACGCAGACAATAACATCTAATGAACCTAAAGCGATAATTACATAACATAATGGTTTCCTACAGTATCGGAAATCCCAGAATAGACTTATTAAAAAAATCTAATTAAGTTAACGAGAAATAACAATAAAAAAAAAGCAAAAAAATCTTGTGTATCGGAGCCCCTGGTCAGCTGAATCGTGACCGCTCATCACGGTTCTCCGAAACCCGAACAGGAGAACCTGTTGCATATAAATAACAAACGCTTCTAAACAATCGCTATTAGATTAGATCGTAAACATGAAGTGGTACCATCTCGCGTTGGTACTTTTTTTAGTGGACCGCGGTCAGTTTGAAGACGCCCAACCTAAAGGGGTAGTTTATTTAATCGAAGATATTCACGAAAAGTTACCGAAAGAACAAGAAAATGTTGACAAAACATCGAAACCTGGCGTGTTGCTAGTGAATCCTGTTAGTGAAGATAAAGCTGGCGATGGAGTTTATTTCAGGCCTGAAACAGGCGCACCAGTTGAAGAAGGAACAGTGAGTGAATTTGTAATAATTTTCTTGTTTTGTTGAATAGGGAAATAATTTATTTCTATAGCGTTTAATCGTCAATGGGCCATCAAGAAGTAGAAGATCTTATGGAGCCGGCGAGACTGGAGGTGGAGCCGGTGGAGGTTATGGCGGAGGATTTGGCGGTGGTTTTGGAGGTGGCGGCGGCGGAGGCGGCGGAGGTAAATAATTAGTTTACTCGAATATAGTGAGTTCATTCTTATCCTGTATACTATCATTTTTTTAAATTCCGCCTACACGAAATGTTGAAATATTTCCATGTTGAGATTTTGACTCATCTGATTCTTTAGGAGGAGGTGGTTTTGGTGGTGGTTTTGGATCAGGGGGCGGCATTGGCGGCGGATTGGGCCACCTGAAAGAAATACTACTTGGCAAGGGCAAAGGAGGCGGAGGTGAGTTGCTACAATTTGCTAAAATTCACTCAACATTTGTTTCTTGTATTTTTACTAAGGAGGCTTAGGAGGTGGCGCTGGAACTGGAGGAGGTTACGGAGGTTCAGGTATGTAGAATCAGATTATCATCATAAATAACTGAAACATTTATAGATAAGTAAAAGAATTTAAATTTTGAATCCCAGTTGACAGTTCAATCTGGAAATGAATTGATATGGAATTCCAGCTACGGGAATTCAATCTAAAATCCTGGTCAGGGAACACGTAAAGTGCCATGGTGGATTCAACTTACCCACCACTAACATTCGCTATAATGGCCTTGGGGGATAACATATGTGACTCACCAAGGCCAATATTTACAAAATAAAAACTGCAAATATACTATATTTGTGGCACCGGGGACTCAAAAAAAAAACGCTTTCATGATGGCACTTTACGGGTTTAATAATACTTTGAAAACACTCATAGATAATATTATTTTTAATAATTTAGGTGGTGCCAGCCATGGAGGTGGCTCAAGTGGAGGCTATGGTGGCTCAGGTATGTGAAACTAAGCAGAAGATAAGAATTCCAAAGTTATAAATGCTGTTTGCAATATTCTAGCAGGAGGAGGTTACGGAGGTGGCTTCGGAGGCGGCGCAGGAGGGGGTGGCGGCTCAAGCGGAGGCTACAGTGGAGGTAGCGCAGGTTCTGGTATGTACAATGACATGATAAACGAACAAATTTAATAATATTTCTTTTAATAATTTAGGAGGCTATGGAGGTGGTCCCAGTCACTTAGGACCTGGTATGTATAGCTAAATAAATACTGAATGCCAAAATCTGATAATATTTTTTTTTTGTTCAATAATCAGGAGGTTTTGGAGGTGGCGCAGGTAAAGGAATCGGAGGTAAGTCTTGAAAGGATTCAAAGGCGGTTGGGGTACAGCTATTAAAATAATTCTCGTTGCAATAAATTAGGGGGCTTTGGAGGTGGCGCTAGGTAAAGGGCTCGAAGGTGAATCGTAGAAATATTTCAGAAATCAGGTTCAGCAATTATAGCTCTTAGTTTCTGTGATAAGTTAGGAGGTGGGGGTGGTTTATCAAAAGTTTACTGAGGCATTGGTATTTATAACTTAGAAGCACGATCAATATTTATATTTTTTTCTAATAAACTGGAAGGTTCTGGGTAGTATGTTTTGGGTAGATAAATAATAGATAGGTATCCTACAATAACATTATGGGTATGTTTTTATTAAATTAGGAGGAGGAGGTTATGGAGGTGGCGCCGGAGGTGGTGCAGGCTCAAGTGGAGGACACGCAGGTGGCTCAAGTGGTGGTTACGGAGGTTCAGGTACGTTTAGGTACAAAAATAATTATAAATATATTAAATTTTCTTGTATTGATTTAGGCGGCCACGGAGGCGGCGTTGGTAAAGGAGGCGGAGGTAAGCTGTTAAATTATTCAAGAGTTTGGAAAAAGTATTATGATAATTTTTTGGGTAGTATGTTCAGGTAGATAAATATTAGATATCCTACAATAATATTATAGGTATGTTTCTATTAAATTAGGAGGAGGAGGTTTTGGAGGTGGTGCAGGCTCAAGTGGGGGATACGCAGGTGGCTCAAGTGGTGGTTACGGAGGTTCAGGTACGTTTAGCTACGAAAATAATTATAAAGGAAAATAATATATTAAACTTTCTTGTATTGATTTAGGTGGCCACGAAGGCGGCGCTGGTAAAGGAGGCGGAGGTAAGCTGTTAAATTATTCAAGAGTTTGGCAAAAATATGATAATTTTTCTCTTATTTTAGGAGGCTTTGGAGGTGGCGCTGGAGGTATGTATATAGCTTCTTATAAAGCTCCATATATAATGTATAGTATCAGGTACTGAGATAAGTATAGATGTATTACAATGTTCTTCTGCGAATATTACATGGTGCCTATTTGATAAGTAATTTGTAGAACTACAAGCTAAAATGTTGTATTTTCACTTATAGGGGGTTACGGCGGTGGAGCAGATGAATTTGCAACAGGTAATTGGATATGTTTTCTTATTTTTTTTTTACTTTCTCCAAAACTTCTCATCATATTTCTCTGATATACCTAATCAATAACTTTCTAAAAAAAACTTCAAATAGAGGAAGTTAGAAAGCAAGATGTTACATTGGATAGTTTAAGTTAGTATTACTTCAGTTCATTAATTCTGTTTTTAAAGTAACCTTCCAAATAAAACTGTATGAGCGTTTCATATGACCTTCATTCTCTGACCCATAAGTGACATCACATCTCAAACTCTCCTATCTTTGACATATTATTATACACAAGAGAAATTCCTCTAACTTTTTCAAAATAGCATTATTATTTCCTAAACAATGTTTATACATTTAGGATCTGTAAATATTATTGGAGGCGGCGGAGCTGGCCATAGTAGTGGAGGCGGCGGCGGAGCCGGCCATGGTGGTGGCGGAGGATTTGGGGGCGGCCTTGGCGGCGGTGGAGGACTTGGTGGCGGTGGAGGACTTGGTGGCGGTGGAGGACTTGGTGGCGGTGGAGGACTTGGTGGCGGTGGAGGACTTGGTGGCGGTGGAGGACTTGGCGGAGGCTCCAGTGGTGGTTACAGTAGCTCATCTTCAGGACAATATGGCGGAGGCGGTGGTAAAGGATTTTATCATCTAGGGTGTTTTCATTTGCGTATTTTTTCAATATTTTACAGGTGGTCATGGAGACGGAGGTTATGGGGGCTCTGGAGGTTATGGTGGCGCTCCAGGAGGCTGCTCTGGAGGATGCGGAGGCAGTTCGGGCGCTAATTCGGGAGCTAATTCGGGAGCTTATGCTTCAGCAAGTGCATCAGCATCAGCCAAAAGTGGCAGCTAGTAAGTTTACACCCTCATCTCAATATGATGTTAATTCTATGTTTTATTTCAGTGGAAAATAAGAGAGTTTATGTTTATTAATATGCTTGACTGTGAAAGAGTAATTTTAAGTTTAGAAAATAAAATATTTTTGTAATACCTATGACACATTGTTTCAATTGCGAGTTCGCCCAACAGTACAGAATAACAAGACTTTTTATTATAAAAGTAATTTATTGTTTTGCATTCCTAATAATTAATATTAACTATTACTTTATTCGTTTCCTTGATATTGATATAATCCTAAAAAAAAAAACAACTATTTATAACAAGGATTTCAAACATATATTTTTACCTTCTAAAATTCCTGACTTCTTTCTATAAATCCCACTATTCGCAAAATTGACTTCCCGTCTAGTCCCTGAAACTGGATGTCCAGCTACATATCTGGAAACACTCAAGTATTGAGACCTAGCAGTGCCAGCACTGGCCTTGGCCAATGGTTCCAGAAGGTCTTCCAAGTTAAATTGACTGAGGTTCAGTTTTTGCTGCGGGTAATCCTTGTTTAATTGTTTTTCTTGGTTTGGCAACTTAATTTTTCTTCTGTAAATTTGAATTCAATTTATGATAATCAAGGATTTACTACTCACCCTAAAATATCAGCAAAATCATCTTCAGGATATTCAAAATTCCCGGCATCGCCAAAATCCCAACTAATTTTTTTCCTGTTTTGTGCCACCCCTGATAAAACTGACGGTAAATATTTGTTTGTATATTCCGGATGTTCCATCATCTTTTTACCAAAATCTGATTGGCCGAACGAGTACACTATTGGTTGAGGTGGCGGTTTTTCAGGCGTTTTCATCGGTTTAATCAAAGACTGAATGTTAATTTGCACACTTGGAGGCATTTGTGCACGATCATTTAGAATATTATGTCCGTTGGCTTGAATTTGTAGTCCAGTTCCTTCCATACTATTGCGTTGCATTCCTGATGATGATTGCACCATTTGCATTTGGGAAGGTTGAGGCATTAAATGCATTTTCGATGAATTTTTCAGTAAATTGTGATCTTGAAGAGCGTTTGGCATTGGTATGTGACGGGTAGTACTACTATAATGCTGGCCAATCTTGAAAATGATAATAACTTCAGTATAAGAGTATTGTTTAGAAGAGTGGATGACAATAGTGAGGTTTAGGACTAGAAATCAGACTCCTTGATTAAAAATTCGCCGACGTTTCGGCATTATATTAGGCCTTCTTCAGGGCTCTTCTTCAAGTTAGGAGCTTCCGTAAACTAGTTAAGTATTTACGAAAGCTCTTAATATAACCTCACTATTGTCAATGTCACCTACTACCACAGAATCCTACTACTATGAAGGTTATTCTTGATTAGTCACCTGAAAGTACTGATGTTTCAAAGCTCCCAGAGCTGTTGGCCTATGTGCAGGATTCCATTCCATTAGTTGATCCATTAGACTGATGGCTGCATTACTAGCTTGTGGAACTACTTCATTTAGTGCTGTTTTGGAAAAATAGGGAAATTTGAATCCTACGGCACCTGCTAGCTGGTAACCATCTTGCCATTTTTTCTAAATAAACAAGAAAATATTGAACTTAAACTTCTGTGTGAATCCGATCAATGAATCTTGGTTCGTGATGAGATGATCAAGTCAATTACACTGATCTGGTAGAATTTAACTTGGAGAATCAGAGTCAATATTATAATATATTGAGGGATTTTGAACATAGTGATTCATTTTACTCTGTACCTACCTTATCAGGTGTTCCCATAATAGCGCATATTTTATAAAGCTGGTCAGTTTCTGTTGTACCAGGAAATAGGGGTCTGTAGGTGTAGATTTCAGCAGCTATACAGCCTACAGCCCATAAGTCAATTGGACTGCTGTAGGTTGTTGAATGAAGCAAAACTTCTGGGGCTCTATAAAATATCACTTAGATAAGTCGCCAAGCTTAGAGGTTTCTATTTCAATTTAATTACCTATACCATCTAGTTGATACATAATCAGTATATGGTGGCCTAGATCTTATTTCTCTTACTAGCCCAAAATCCGCTATTTTAACTAAGTCAGGTCCAGAACATAGAATATTTTCGGGCTTCATATCCCTGTGAAAAAATCCGTGACGGTGTATGAAAGCTAATCCTTGTAAAATCTACAAAATCAAAAAAAGTTAAATAAAATTGAAGGTCCTTGCCTGATAATCAACATGTAATTATCGTGTCCGCATTTATTATTAACAAGCTCAAAAAAAACCTTAAGAGGTATTGATTGTATTTTGTTGTTCATGGAAACAATCAATTTACCTGATAAAGCATATTTCTGACAGTAGCTTCTGGATAAGGAACTCTTCTATCTTTAATTAGTTGGTACAAATTCTCTTGCATATATTCAAACACGAAATACAATACATCGTTTTCTCGGATAACTTCTTTTAGTTTAACCACGTTGGAGTGATGGAGTTTCTTCAAAGACTAAAACCAAACACCAGATAACTTATAACTAATTGAGAACATCAAACACTTACTTTCACTTCTCTTAAATTCATAGCCTCATCCCAACTGTAGTATTTTCTCTTCATTTTCTTGATTGCCACCTTTTCTCCTGTGTCCTTTCTTTGTCCGAGTACAACAGATCCGTAGGTACCATCGCCTAGTTGGTGTAAGATGTTGTATCTATTCATTTTCTACATAAATTTGCTATATATGCATACACCTAATATATTTGCCATTTATTCAACCGTGTCAACGTCATTGTTGTTTTGTCACTATACATTAATTTTTAGATGCAGAAAAGAAGGATTTTTCTAATTTGTGTTTCTATATAAAAAATTCTGATGGTTTATGAACTAGTTGTTTTGTCTAAGACACTCTAACAAGAAAACTGGATCATGATACATTGTAATATATTTCAAAACGTCTCTGTTTGTATTGAGTTCCCTTGGATTTGTTTGCATTAGACCAAGAGCCCGTGATATCCAGGTGATATCAAATTGTTGGCCTAAATATTAGTAATTTGAAATATAATGTAGGAACATCCGCTCGTTTACTAAAAACCTACTTTTGCCAAACACATTTAAGTATATCAAAATTATTTAATAAGATTGTGGGGAGTCTCCCTACTGTAATTTTACGCATGAAGACTTTTGAAATACAAACATTTATTAATAACTTATAGTAGTGTTCTTGATAATTGAGTTGGTTCTACCAGTATAGCTACAGAAGTATACATTTGTTTCCATTTTTTCTTTGTTGTTTCTTTTTTATCAATTAATTAATTAACCTGACACCATTTATATTGGCCGAGAATCTCATAGCCTCTATAGTAATCTGTGCAATAATTATTTAAACCAAAAATACCTATAAACTCAGACAAGAAATGTGTACAGGCAAGTTGATTATATCTTGATGAAAAAAAAAATCTTTTGAAACAGGGTTTTAAGAACATTTAAATATTCATAAGCCCCATAAATTACCTAACTGGGTTAAGGCTGTATGAATACTAATAAGTTTGTTCTAATTCATGAGCAATGTCCCACTTTTGATACTTTTTTCTTCATTACTGAGAAATCCATACCCCTTTCTATGAGCGCTATCTTGTTGAACTTGAAGAAATCATCTAAGTAATGCTCTCTTAACTATTTCCATTTCCATAAATACCTACAATATATGTATCTACAACGGCTCTATATTTATATCTGGATATTTGTAGATGGCGCACAAATTTAATCATTATTTTTTCTCTGCAACATTATATCGATTAGTTGTACTCCTATGCTGTGCCTCCACCTACAATGGCCCAATGAGTTATCGAATTTGGTATTCAAAAAAAATCTGTTGGCAGATGAGCTTAATGGTCCAATGCATTATAAAATATTTTTTTTATGCTGTTGAGTAATGATATGTAGGCAATGGCTTTTTATGGAAATTGGCCAAGAGCAATAGTTTTTCAAGTAAAATCTGTAACAGACTCTATAGTCTGTGAGATATCAAAAAATCCCTCTCAAATATTTTGTAATGCATTTGTCATGGGTAATCAGTTCTTCGACGAGAATTTTCTATTGGGCATGTTTGAAATATTTTGGGAGACTTGTCTATTCTGTAAAATAATATCCAATTAGCTTGTAATTATTCAATATATTATTATCCTTTGTTGTGCCTAATCTCATGAATATTTATTTCACTCAATCCATAATAAGAAAGAGAGACACTCTGTATGATAACTTGCCTATTATAAAATGGAGAGTAAGACCTACCTGACCTGGCAAAAAAAGACAGGGGAACAGAGCTTGTTGAGAAAGTGTGCTGAAAGGTTCTCTGTGTCTGTGCGACTAGGCGTTTGGGATATTGAAGATAAATTGAGGTATGAGAGATAATAGAGTTGTACTGTAATAATGTAGGTAGTATTGATTTGATATTGTGCACATTATATGTTGTTGATTTGGTTGAATTATGCAACCTGCCTACAATTTTTGTAGGGGGACCTCCCCTCATTACTGAAGGTAATGTTGTGGCCTTATCTATGATGGTTGTAAGGAATTGGCGCCGTTCTTCAAGTTGTGGTTTGCGCTTGGGGTCTTCGCATGCGGCTTGATTGACACAATTTGGTGTAAGAACAGCCTCAGGCTAAATTTCCCCATTTCTATTCGGTGCATGTTTACATGTAATATATTTATATGTGCCATGCATTCAGGGCCATATTTATTTATTTACTTATTTATTTTATTTATAAAGTTTACGTAAAGGATGTCCGAGTTTGGAGAACGAAATGTTGCGAAAAAGAGGCGCATTCGTCGTTCTCTCTCCTCTTCATCTGACGACGAAGAAGTTTCTATTCCATCTGTTTTTAACAGTGAACCTGATCGGTCAATAACTGCAGTATCTACGAGCTCCAGTGAAATTTTTGGTTTGCCAGGGGTTGTCAAAGATTTACTGAAGGTTATAGAAAACCGTGATACGTCGGACCGTTCTGTAATGTCGAGGGACAACAGGATTCTTAGTTTTGATCCAAAAGACAAAGATCAAAATATCAGAAAGTGCTGTCAGAAAGTTGACGAGTTGCAATGCCTGTACAATTGGAGTGACGAATCAACTGTATACAACGCAATCTCTTAACTAGAAGGGCTAGCAAGTATTTGGTACAAAAGTTTACCATCAATCCAGTGCTTGTGGGATGGATGGAAGCAGTGTCGGACTGGGGGTCATTTGGTCCACCGGGCAAATGGTGGAGTGGCCCACCCAACTTAAACCCCATTCAATAGAAACATTTTGATAATCATTTGTTGACTCTGGTACCTAGTTATATTACGGCCATTTGCACCGGTACAACTTAAGGGACATTTAATCCAAGGGGAGCTTTGAATGTGACTCTCGTAGAAACAAAAGTCACATTCAAAAGCTCCACTTAAATTAAATATCCCTTAAGTGATAGCGGTGCAAATGGCCATTAAGAGCATAAAAAAATAGGTACTTTGGTTTACTGCAGATACCTGCTTATTTATATGTTTTCTTGTTATGAAAACCAAACATACACTTTAAATTTTTCCTAAAAAATCAACGCTGAACTGACATATTTCAATGTCATTAAACCCCTCTTAATTATTTGATTTCTAGTTCTGATGAGAGATTTACTGACTATGATACTGTTGGTCAGAGTCATGTGACGTCACTTTTTTGAAGTTTAATTGAATAACAAATGGTGGATCAAATTATTGTTACATACTTCCATATTGTATTCAGGCATTTTGGGAACCCAATAAAAAAAAAAGGCAAGACGGCCCCATTGACATAAGTAGACTGTCCCGGTGGGGGTGGGACACCCTGTACAACTTCCTCTTTTTTACCTTTCCGTTCTCGGACAACTAGGGTGTATAATAATAAAAAATAGTAATAGCGAGGGAGACGGAGGTCGAGGTTTTTAAATGATAAAGTTAGAACCAACTAAGACCTGACCTCATTACTGACGAAGAAGGCAAATTCCCTTTTCTCTATGGTCCTCCCGTTTGAAGTGAGACATGCTGCCTTATGAGCTTCTTTGCGAAAGCCATAAGGCTTGTTTTACCCATTTATTTGTCCCTCCTGGGATGCCGACGACTAGCTGTCCTTCCACCTCTTGGAAGGCCGTCCTGGTGGTCTGCTGGATGCTGGCTTTCCATTTTTAGCGATTTTTTCCAGTCTGTGGTTTTCCATCCTGGATATTGTGCTCGCTCCATAAGCGTCTCCTAACGCGTGTCCATCTAACCACGTCCTCTGTCTTGCACTCTTCCCTGATTTCGTTACTCCTTCTTTGATCCCAAAGTGTGTTCCCTGTAATCATTCTTAGTATTCTCATTTCATTGGTTCGTGCCATCCTTTTTGTTTCCGCAGTTGATTTCAAATTCACTTATATGCGACGAGCGATTTCTGCGCGACTTCGGCTTGAACTTTTTCAGAGCAGAAGGGAGCTGATATTGATATGATAGATCTTAGATTGATAGATAGGTATAGTTGATTTTTCATGAGGACGGCGAATTACGCCAAATAACTTATGATTTGATTATCAATGGCGTGGGGAGTAGGCTATTTTAATTTATCTTTATAAATATTCGAATGGCCCACCTGTCGCAGACGTCATCTGGCCCACCGGGATTTTGCCCGGTTGCCCGGTGGGCCAGTCCGACACTGGATGGAAGGACGATTTTTAGAAGCCTTCACAGTAAAAGCGCACCATCACCAGAATCTTAGTGAGATGATGCAACGTTAAAAAAGGAGCGATGAATCTTATTTGGTCTATTATTGCGAAAAAGTTGCTCTGCTGAATAAATGCAAAATCTACGAATTTGATGCAGTGTATAATTGGAGGAATTTCAGATCAAATGGTACAAGCAGCTGCTAGAGCTAAAGATCATCAGGCTCATGAAGCATTATTGGGTTGCCTGAAGACATGCGATATTACACAATCCAGTATCACACAATCCAGTGCAGCCAAAGTGACCAAACTTTCTTTTTTGCGTGGACGTGGAAAAAGATAGGAGGCAAAAACGATTTTCAAGGGCATCTTCAATCGTTTGCCGCAAATGCGAGAAAACTGGACACTTTGCCAAACAATGCAAGGTACCACAATGTTACAATTGCCAGAAATTTGGACACCGTGTTCGTGATTGCAGAGCGCCAACAACATAAAAACCCAACTGCTTCCAAGGAACACGCGTTATGACTAGAAACCACCAAAAACGAAAAGTAATTTAAGGAGATTAGCGCTAATGACAAAAACTATCGCGCATTTATTGACTTTGGTTCCAGTTGCAGCATTATACGCCATTCAGAAGCAAAACAACTCAACGCACCGATTTCTAAATGTGACATCAGCCTTAAGGGTTACGGCACAAACAAAATTCAAGTTCTAGGAATAATTACTGTAAAACTTAAAGTTGATGATGTCCATTGTGGAATGTTTGGTTGTTCCAGACTGTCTCCAAAAAGTTCCCATATTGATTGGTCAATCATTTACAGAACAGCCTGGATTAATGCTACTGAAGGACAGTAATAGTTTGAAATTCATCGAATCTCAACAACTTAAGACTACCATTAAAATAGCGCTATGGCTACCAGAACCAACTTTAATTTCTTCTTACCATGTTGGGAATCTGACTGTCACTAGTAAAACGCCATTTCAAGGGGATCTAGTTTCAGATGAAAACCAGGAGCGGAATATGCAATCCCTAGAATACTCATTCATTTCATTCAGCCGGAAAAAAAACAGCCGTTATCCCAATAATCAATTTATCTGGAAGAGATCTCAGATTGAGTGATAAATATCCACTAGTAAGAACTATTGCTTGTGAACTAGACAGTAGTAATTCGTCTGAACAAGTTTTTCGTGCGGATCTGGACAATCTACCATTGATTGACGAGGAGGATATAAACATTGGAACTACTGTCCCATCTCTAAGGAAAAAATTAGCGTCCCTTCTTCAGGAATTGTAACTGAAAAACTGAAAAAGTAAGATCCATTGTATCCGAACTTTTAGGAGCTGGAATAATACGCGAGTCACGTTCTTCATACGCTTCCCCAGTGCTTTTGGAGAAGAAGAAAGATGGAAAGGATCGGATATGTATTGACTACCGAAAACTTAATCTCAAAATTATAAAAGAT